ATAAATAGTTACCACAGTACTTGGAAGCCAACTAAAATTATACTTTAAGTATTGTCACTCAAGGCATTTTCCTCTCTCTTGTTAAAAGAATAAATAAACTGGGTTCTGGCAATGACTTTGAAGTCTTTTTTCAACGTCTTGGCATTGCTTCAGGCAGAGCACGTTACAGTAAAAATTGGGTAAGTCTGTGTCTTTTTCATTTTGTCTTCCCTGTAACTGCCTGAATAATATCACCCGTAATTGAGCCATTTAGACTGCCAGGTGTTTGGAGTAGTTCAGTTTAGTGTGTCAGAGTGGAGTCCCAGTTCATTACTAGAACTCTATGTGCTACTACAACATGAATATTTAATAAATAGGAATGGTCAACTTGGTGTCAGTCAGACAAAAGGAACTCTGCTCAGGGTAAATGGATGTGCTTAGAATTACCTATGGTTGATGAAGGCTTATGAGTAGCTTATGATGACTTTTGAATGATTTGTAATAACTTACTGAGCTTTGAATTCAAAATGGTTCATGTTTTATGGAAAATATAGGTTTGACTCTGGAGCATACTGTGAGATGACACTAATTGAGAAGTGTTCAAGGAACAATCTATTCAGTGTGGCCTTTTCCTCTGAAAAGGCATATCCAAAGACGCAAACAGAAATGACTGTTGAGATCCAAGCAAAGAGAGGAAGGGCAATCTCACCTTTATGTAGCCAATTAAAAGTTATGCATCTGTTCTTAGCTACCTTCTTTAGGCTCTGCATGCGGTCAGTGGAGAAAGGCATCTCCATATGACTGTTCATCTCATCATAGGTTGATGTCTAGGAGAGCCACCGCTGAGCAGTTCTTCCGATTTGACTGTCTGTAGTGGCTACATAGGATTAGTGTGACCTGAAAACTTAACTTTACAGTGCCTTGAATCCCACAGCAAAGATTTTCAAGCAAAGATGAAGTATCCACAGCTGAATAATGGTTTTGTTTGTTTCAGAATGTAGAAAAATATAGCAGCTACCCAGTTTACCACAGTGTCTATGAAACCTATGAAATTGTGGAGAGGTTTTATGATCCCACTTTCAAGAATCATCTGACAGTAGCTCAGGTACGGGGAGGGCTGGTGTTTGAATTGGCCAACTCCATTGTGCTTCCTTTTGACTGTAGAGATTATGCATCAGCTGTGAGCAACTATGCTCACATCATCTATAATTTGTCAAGGAATCATGAAGAGGAACTGGCAACATACAACGTATCCTTTGGTATGTACAGTCTTTCATCATACTCCTCCTCTGTTAATGCTAGCAGTGCCTTATCTTAATGTATGTCTTAGTCATGACCTGGTATTCACCTTGTGCTCTGTGAACAGTAATTAGAACAAGAGCCACACTCTCTAATAATTTGAAATTTGAATATTTTGTAACTAGTATGCCTGTGTAGAGACTATGCCATTGCCAAGTAGAGCTAACACTTACTGTCACATGTTCTTTGACCTGTGCCTGGTTCACAAGCGCTGGCAACAACGTATCTTTGTCTTGGTCCCTCAAAAAAAAAAATCACACTGCTTTGCAGCTTATGGTGTTGGATAATTCTCTGTCCAACACTTATCATAGGATCATATAGGTTAGGGGGAACCTCAGGAGGTCTCTATGGCCTAGGCAGGGTCAGCTCTGAGGTCAGACCAGGTTGCTCAGAGCTTTATCCTTTCTGGTCTCGAAAACCTCCAAGGACAGAGACTACAGAACCTCTCTGGACCACAGTGCTTGACTGTCCTCAGAATGAAAAATATCCTCCCTACATCCAGTCACAGCTTCTTTTGTTTCAGTTTATGGGCACATGATGGCAAGTGCAAGCATCATGAGAAGTTTGCCTCGGGGCTTGGTCAGGCAGGAATGATTCACCCCTATGCCACAATAGGGATCTTGTGCTGGCGTGTGAAATATTTCATGTTATAGGGATTCACAATATGCCTCCTACCTTAGAAGCCTTTATTTTATTGGCAACATTATATACTGTGCAGTTTAGGACTTGGCTGCTAGTGACCAATATTGGGCATATGTGCGCATGCACACACTCATACGCACATACTCTCAATCTTTCTCAAAACTCTGCATGTGTGGAGGGACATACCAATAAAACATAGGTTTCGGGGATTTATAAACAGTCTGGTTCAGGCAATATGTGCTCTAGTTTTTGGTATTTCTGTACATTCTTCAAGTACCAAACAATAAGCAATATTCACAAAAATACTGATTTCTGTTGTCTCCAAGGCAAGTTTTCACAAAGGATTACATAGTTTTTAATGTAGTAATATCGGGTCATCTGATTTTTATTTAGTGAGAATTGACAAATCATGATCACACTGAAAGGTAAAGCTTTAATTTGAAGGATTTGCTTTGTTAAATGATTCCCTAAGAATTTGAAGTTAAATGCTTCCTTCCTGTTCCCTCCAGGTGCTCTCTTTTCAGCTGTGAAGAATTTTACAGAAATTGCTGCTAGCTTTCATGAGAGACTGCAACAAATAGATATCAATAAGTGAGTTTAACTCTTTTTTTCTTTCAGTCAAATACTCCATGTAGTCCTCTGGGCTCAGAGGGCGTAGTCTTCACTTGCATTTAGTCCCCTGAGTAACCTTGGTGACAAATGACTGTCAGTCATTTGTTTCATTACAAGTCCTTATAGATTCTTGTCTTTAGGGATCTGGTTACTCTAGGAAACAAAGTATAGAAATGTCGAATTAGTGGACATCAGAGACACTGAAGAGACTGGGAATCTAGCCATGTTAGCTTCAAAAAGTGTCCAAGGTAATTTCTGTCAATTCTTTACAGGTTTTAGTTGAGGAGCCCTGTCGGGATGATACATGGATGTGACTAGAATGCTGGTTAGCATGAGCAGAGCCAGCTCTCGTGTGTAACTCCCTCCAAGTAGGGACACATCCTGGGATTTTGTCACTGGATTATCATTAAAGAACAAATGCTGACTTGTGGTCTTTGTTTGCCAGCACTCTAGTTTTCAGGATACTGGTACCACTTAATGAAAAAAAATATCTGTACCATGATTGTAATTGTGGCAAGCTTTTTGGCAAGCTTTCCCAAAATTCTGTGCACCACCTATGCCAAAAGGCCTAATTTGCACTTGACTTTATTCTTAATTTATTCTTTGTAGGCCATGCCCAGAATGAGAAACTAAACTTCCTTTTATATATACATATGTGTATGTTATATTTCTTGGGAAGAATCTAATTTAGCCATATGCTTACCCTTATGGGAGACTAAGTGAGAATAAAAGCCATCTTTTTAATGGCAGCAACTTTCAAGATAATGAATTAACAAAAATTTCTTCTGTAAAATATGACATTTATGACATATGACATGTATGTGACATTTTCAAAATGATTTCATTGATGGATGGCCTAAATATAAGCTTTAATTCAATGAACCAGTTTCAGTTTCCATTTACACTCATGTAAACTTGAAAAAAAATCATTGACAGTAGTAGAGTTACTCCAGGCTTACAGCGATATAAATTTTACCATTTTTTCTTGCTGAGTGCCTTTGAAGTACTGCAATAAGTTACTGTGGATGTAAACTACCAAACCCACATATATTCATTATAATCTTCTTTACAGTTCTTTTATTTGTTAAGCATCAGTAGTATGCTCAGGGCTATTCAAAGCACACAGACACAGATGGTCTCTGCTCTAGGGAATTTACAATCTGCTGTCAGAAAAATACAATTCTTGGATGATTCAAAAGATGATTCTAACATCATAAGGTTCCTGTTTATCAGATGTTGTGGTTTTACATAAAAATAAATGATTTTATTGAAGTAATTTGCAGCTGGTTGGCTTTGTGGAAAAAAGGGTCTTTAGAAAACTGTGGTACAAAAGAAGAAAATGGTCTGCCTAAGCATCCTAATGAAAAGGAGATAAAGGAATAAGATGCAACATGAGAGGAAATGCCTGAAAGTTTCTGTCTTCTTTGACTCTATTCCTTGGTCTTTAAAAACAGCTTTAAGAGACTTTCAGGTTATGAACCAAACTGTCTCACAGTACAGATCAGCATAATTCTGTTGTGCAGGTTAGCTGGCTTGGGCTGTCTTGTGGGCTACACTTCAAGTTCAACATCTCAGATCTACTGTCCTTCAGAAATCCAGAGCTGTGTGCACTGGGTCACGGGATGAGAGTGGGCTAAACACTTTATAGCTAACATATTCCTCTGTTTTCTTTTTAGCCTACTTGCTGTCAGGTCACTAAATGATCAGCTGATGTTTCTAGAAAGGGCTTTCATTGATCCTCCTGGGTTACCTGGCAGGCCATTCTATAGGTAAGAAAGGCTTATTTTTCACTTTCTGCCTGAAGTACCCTACAAGAATTCCTTTAAGACTTACAGGTCTCTACATGGAATTGTAATGATTTTATTCAATGTGGTAAAAGTAGATTAAACAGGACAAATAAGATTGAAAAGGGAAGACAACATCAGGGAAAACTTCAGTGAGATACACTCTACAGAATGAGAAAAAGTCTTGTCGGAAGCCTGTACGGATCAGTAAACTCATTTCAATTGATTTCGGTGGGCTTCTAAACAGATCTAAAAGTTTGGCCCTGGACTCAGTTCAAGTAATTTCAGTGGTAAAGGATCTTTAGGAAGCAATTATGATTTGAAAGCGAAATAGGGTGTAATCTACAATTTGATCGATTATAGCAGAACAGTCGTGCTAGCAAATACAGTGTAGAGGGCAGTACTTCAACAGCAGTGAAGTGAATTCAGTAGTTCTTTCATCCAGTTCAAGAAATAAATCTTGTTTGAGAGGCAAAATAGTCAAGCCAAGTCTAGCTTTTTGGTCCTTCTATCAGTCTGCATAATTCAGAACAGCAATCTTTCCACTAAGAAGTTCCACTAAAAAGTTACTGCAGAAAGAGAACTTAAGATCTTCAGTCCTTGTACCCCACATAGCTTCTGATAAAAAAATCTGTTGAGAACAGTCTCTTGTTAAAGCGTCAGCCTTCTTACCTCAAAGCATGCCTGTATCTGTTGGAGATTGTGTGTATCTGTGAGGAAAGAAACTGCCTTTTTTTTTTTAATCTCCATTTCATCTAAAATGAGGGAAAGGGAAATACTTTATCTCAAGTCTTCTTAGCGATAAAGTTCTGGAATTCACATGGAATAATTTAGTTTATGTTATTTTCTTGCTTCATAGATTATAGCTACTAATGCTGCAATAATCATTTATTTACATCTTCAATGTCAAGAATTTAGCAGATGATATAGAAGCAGATTAGTTTTATTCAGAAAATAGTATGTTTTCCTAATGCAAAATATTCTTATTTTTCCCCCCTCAACTTCCCCACAGACATGTCATCTTTGCTCCAAGCAGCCATAACAAGTATGCAGGAGAATCATTCCCAGGGATCTATGATGCCATATTTGACATTAAAAACAAAGCTGATCAACATGAAGCCTGGGAAGAAGTTAAGAGGCAGATTTCCATTGCAGCCTTCACTGTACAGGCAGCAGCAGAAACACTGAAAGAAGTAGCGTGAATATCAACAACATAATCGTCAACAAAGACTATGTATGACAGTTTGCAGAAGCCTTAAAAATGGAGCATTTAAAAATACTAAGCAGATTATTACAAAGAACACAAAATCAAAAAAAATCTTTTTCTTTGCAAATAATATGCCCAAGTGGAATGCATTTAGCAATGTTAACAAGGTAATGTACTCCATTCGGAGAGATCAGGCTTTAGGTAACTTCTGAAGTGAGAGTGAAAAAGTTTCATGTTTTCTCTCAGCTTCATATTTTAAGAATTGCTAACCACTGGATTTATTTTCAGAGCTTTGAATTTTGCTAGCTTGATTATTATAGCACTACTCATAGTGCATTAGGAAACCAGAAGTCATTTCATGTTTCTATCAGTTTCTAATTTTGTTGTTGACTTATTATTTACCTTGGAGTCGCATAATTGTATTCCAAGACAGCCCTTTCAGCTCTCCTTTTACGCAAAGAATCACATATGAAGATGGGAAAACTGTCACATACTGTGAGGGATGTATAATGATAATAACAAGTTTTGGGCAGCCAGCCCAGAATAATCATCCGTGACGTTCTTCTCTTCACATGCTAAGTCTTGCAGCTGTTTGCAAATAAAATTAAGCAAGAAGCCTTCTAGTCACCGGGATAAAAACAAGGCAATACATCTTGTCAGATGTATAATTGTCTCACAAATCATGTCTTTCAAGATGAAGACCTACTTTTATTATTTTACCCAAAATCTACCCTTGCTGTGCCTTGTCTGTATCAAGGTTTTTTAATAGGAAGACAATGAGAAGAAAATTCATCACATCCTTAGTTTGAAAGGTTAGAAAATTATCACCATCTTAGTAGAGACTGTATTTCTGATTTGGGAGTGCAGCTTACACTTATGACAGTCTGCTCAAAAGACTACAGTGGGACAGCCGAGATCAGACAGAGAAGAAGGAAGCAATCAGATCCCTTCATCTGACACTCCACCACTAGAGGATTACTGACCTCTTGCACAGCAAATATTTTGTGTAATTTGATTTGCTGTTTCAGCTGAGGCCTCCACCATGTCTTGGAAGACCGTCCCAAGGTTCTGATGGATTGCAATGTCATGGTAGATTTTTTTTCTTTTCCATATGACCTCATTTATTCATAAATATTTCTACTCTTCACATTAAAACCCTTTAGGCAAGTTACTATAATTAAGTCATTATTTTACTTAGTTGTTGATCTTTCTCATGAAATAATCCAGTTTTCTAGATAGAGGGAGATGCTCTTACACCCACAGTTGTTGCTCAGTTATTTTCACATTTTTATGAAAGTGTTTGTAGTAAAACTATGGAGACATGTCTTCCCCCAAATCTAGTTGTGCTGATAGGAGGCAATGCTGCCTGTAATTATTTTATCGCTGCTGGCTGCTCCACTGCTTCTTTTGCCAATGGAGAATCCACCTCTGAAAAAATTGGTCAGGTTAGTTTACATCATCAGTTAGGCTAACCTTAAGGATTTTATCTGCAGCAATCAAGCGAATGGTAACACAAATCCGCCATGCAGAGGCGGTCAGCGATAAACAGCGATAAACAGCTTCTGTTGACCAGGTGGATACAAAAAGAGTATTTTTCTGTTGCTAAGGAGGATGTATCCAGAACTGAAACACCAAACTCCAAAATTGAAATCTTTCTCTAAATGACCCGTAAGCTTCCTCAGCAACTTTTTCTCTCAGCCCAGAAGACCTAATTTTTTTAATCTCTGTCCTAACCAGAGATTGTTTCATTTAAGTTTATTTAGGGCCTTTTTTGGCAAAAGCTGGCAGGTAATATACAATGTCAGGGCCCTGGATCTCACAAAATACAGAGACAGTTACACTCTTAAACTACAGCAACGTACATTTAAAAAAAATATCTGTGGGCTGTCCCCTAACCACTGCAGGGAATAGGCTACAGGGACAGAAGTTCTCTCTCCTATTGCCTCAGCTCTCCTGTGCACAAAAAATGCCAGGCTAACTGGTCCAGAGAGAGGAAGCACTCATAAGGCTGATTGTAAAATGATGGTTTATGTGATGTTTTGGTAAGGTGGGATTCAAACTGTCCAGTGCTTTCTCTCAGATTTGGGTCAGATTTTGTTCAGTGCAAACCACAACCTGTAGCAGTTACATTTTAAAAGCAAATGGAGCTTTACTTATTTTTTTTGAGACGAAGATCCTCAGATGGACTCAGTCCAGCTGTTTCCCCAAGCCCTGACCCAGTCTTTTATCAAAGATATTTGAGGTCAAAGACATTATGCTCCATGCTATGGGTGGGGGGGTTTCCTCACGAAGGAAGCACGAAGCTTTTCTGATCTCCATTCTGAGAAGCCTCACATTGGGTGCTCACTTCTCTTGAGACAGCCACTGTGATCCTTAGCTTATCCAGCATCATCTTGGATGTTACTGGCCCCACTACAGAAGACCACCACAATTTACAAAATTGTTATGACAAACCAGCACCCATTCTGTTTTACCTCAATATACTGGGCTGCAACTTGTGCCTGTTCAATGGCTTCTTCAAGAGCTGCTAAGACATCTTTGCATCTTTATCTGGGACTTGCTGAGAGGGAAAGACAGACAGCTGGTGGCAATAACCACAGCGTGATAGGTATTCCATGGTAAGCTGTCTGCACTTGTAAGTGCATACCTCAGACTCCTTCGTTTCAGTGAGGAAGAAAGCACAGGTGTCTCGTTCTGCAAACTCTTAAGTTAGACAAGGCAGCACGTGGCATTTAGACATGTTATGGCTCATTCTGAAGTTCTTGACCAGTTTTTCAATTTAAAATACAGATGCTTTTTAGTCTTCAAGAACGTCTGAAATTTCTGATAAGAACATTCTTATCTCTAAATCATTTCTTATAGTCGGTCTTCTATGGAGTATAGAGAGAGCCACTGCAGCCTTCAGTTCCTCAAAGACTATTCCAAGCAGAAATGGCTGGTGTCATTACTGGACAACAAAGGCCAAAGCCTATGCGGCTAATTTCTGAAGCTACATGATTTGTAGTCAGCTGCCCAAGCCATATGTCAAAATATATGCATGGATGCATACACAACTGTCAATTACCTATATGTGTCACTAGGATTATAAGTTCTAAACAAAAAGCAAAAATTGGAAGAATAGTTGTGTACGCACTGAGAAATGTCTTTTCACATCACGCATTTACTAGGATGATATGAAGAAACAAGGGTCACATTTCACGTTTATGAACAAAATCGGGCCAATTGATATGCACCAGCAGATGAAGACATCTAGTTCCTACCAGACAAGTGGGGAACGGTGGTTAAATAAATAAGTAATATGCATTAAAAGAACTGTCTGTTGATATGTTCTTGCAAACTTTGTAGCTGCACTGAGAAACATTTCCAGTCCATTGATTCTTAAAGCTCAAAAACCTGTCTGAACCAGCCACATGATCAAGGAAGTGTATACTATGAAGCAGTCTGCTAAGGCAAGGCAGGCAATGAGAAGCCAGATACAGGAATAACTACATTTTAAGCATCTGTGGTATTTGTTAGATCTGCCAGGGTATCTCATGGGCATAGCTATTAGCTGACTCAAGCCCTAAGTGTGAAATGCTTTCCTATACAAGAAGTCAAGATAAGGTTTGTGTGCTAATTCTCCTTCAGCGAAATAGAATTTGAAACATAAAAAAGTACTTTTTCAAGACTTCTACAGCAAGTTGAAATTCACTCTTAACAGTGCCAAGTGCAGTTGAACAGATTAGCTGTTTTGGGTCTCAAGTTTGATATTATTCCATAGGAAGTGGCCAACTGTTGAATTAAGTAAAAAATAAAAAATAAAAAAAAAATCAGTTGTTAACAGGAACATAATCCAAAATCAACTAAGCATGTTAAATTTACAGTTTACTAATCATCTAACGTGAGCCAATTATTCATGTAACTACAGGTGTTTTCAGCTAAAGATGGCATTAGCAGAGTTGTTTGCTACAATCAACTTTAGGTTCTATTTTCTAAATATGCTGTAATTAATACCTGGAAGAACTGAGATCCTAATTCCAGACAGCTCCTTGCAAACACTCATTTGGTATTTACAGTTGCTGCAGGCAAACTCACCAAGTCATTGATTTATGTACAGCATCAGATGACTTGATTACAAAATGAGCTTTAGAAGTATTTAGTAAGCAGAGGGGAGGAACCTAGCTGGCACAGTGGCATTGTTGAGAGCATCCTTTCCAATTTGAGCAATTACATTAAAGAATTTGGAGGTGAAATGAAAAAGGAACAGTATTTTTTGAAGAGAGTACTTCCTATCATACGATCACAAATTGGATGCTGTCAAAATTTTTCAAAGAATTCCAGACAATGACCATCCTATGCACTAAGGGTCTAAATCAAATGAAATGAAAGCGTACCCATGTGTGGAAAAGGTAGAAACTATACTTGTATTAAAATGAATCCTTGCTATCATGAAACGAGTAATGTCAATGCTACTTTGGCTGGAAAGTCTGTTGACCTCATAGCATAATTTGTAAATTCAGGTGCTGTCGACACAGATCTTACCTCAAGTGTTGGTTTAGCTGAGACAGAGCAATCACTGGTAGTCAATATCTTTGAGATGGGACCTGTGCTCATCTCTGCTTGTATAGCAGTTTGAAATGAGCTGCTGGACTACAGACAGTACCGTGGTGGAGCAGAGCAGCCAAGTCTCACAGCTGGAGTCAGTAAATTGTAGACTTTCACTTGATGGACAGCAGCTCCCCAGGGCAGAGGATTGTAATGAATGGAAGAATATCACACAATCATAGGATCACAGGGTTGGAAGAGAACTCGGGAGGTTTCTAGTCCAAACTCCTGCTCAAAGCAGGGTGAGCTCCAAGGTCAGACCAGGCTGCACGGAGTTTTATCAAGTCCAGTCTTGAAAATCTCTGAGGATGGAGACCGTGTAATGTCTGTGCAACATACTCCGGTGCTTCACTGCCCTCGTGATGGAAAAGCTTTTCCTTATATCCAGACAGAACTTGTTGTTTCAGTTTA